TGAACTGTTTCCTTTGTTGATGTTGTTCTCATTGTTTGTCCGTTATTTTCTGATTTTGAGGGGAGCAACCCAAAAAGTTGCTTCTCTCTAAACTTTTACTTAATGTAATCATTCTTTTCTCAGGCGTGAGGCTAGCAACCCCACCCTGTAAACAAAATTGCTACAGAACTTCAGCATTATGAACCTCTTGCACCAAAAGAAAAAGTCTGTGTAGGAACATGGAACGTCCGAACTATGTACGAGACTTGGAAAGCTGCCCAGATCGCCAACGAGATGAAAAGATACGGAATACAAGTGCTGGGAATATGTGAGAGCAGATGGAATGGGAGTGGACTCACCAAATTGTCAACAGGTGAGTCAGTGATCTACTCCGGTCACCCAGAAGATAACCACACGCACACCGAGGGCGTGGCTATCATGATGTCACCAACGGCAACGAAAGCCCTGATACAATGGGAGGCGATTTCGTCCAGGATAATGACCGCCAGGTTCAACTCCAAAGGAAGGAAAGTGTCAATCATACAATGTTATGCACCCACAAACAACGCAGACCTCGAGAAGAAAGAAGAATTCTACAGGCAACTACAGGCAACAATGGACAATACTCCAGCTGGCGACATGAAAATACTAATGGGAGACATGAACGCCAAACTGGGACCAGACAATACGGGAAGGGAACTCATCATGGGTAGAGAAGCTCTAGGAGAAATGAATGAAAACGGAGAACTCTTCGCCGACTTCTGCGCCTTCAACGAACTGGTGATTGGTGGCAGTGTATACAAGCACAAAGATATCCACAAGGCTACATGGGTGTCACCAGACGGGCAAACCAAAAACCAAATCGACTTCATCTCAATCTCAAGGAAGTGGAGGCGCAGCCTACTGGACACAAAAGCAAGAAGAGGAGCAGACGTTGGCTCAGACCACTATCTCGTACAAGGGACAATCCAAATCAAATTAAAAGCTTTCAGGGAATCAGGAGCTGCAGATAGACCACAAGCCAAGTTCAACACTCAAAAGCTGAAGGACCAGGCTACAAAGGACATCTTCATTGCAAGCATAAAGGACAAAGCCGAGACACAAATCAACACTAGCGAAGAGGTCGGCGTTGAAAAGCACTGGAACAACTTGAAAACGGTGTGGAGCCAAACCTGCATAGAAATTCTAGGCAGAAAAAAGAGACAGGACAAACAGTGGCTCACTACGGACACTTGGAAACTAATAGAAGAGAGAAGGACAGTGAAGCAAAAGATTATCCAGTGCACGACGAGCAACAAAAACAGGAGCTGAATGCAAGCTACAATACACTGAACAAAAGAGTGAAGAAAAGTGCCAGGGAAGACAAAAGAAAATATTATGAAACCATGGCAAACGAAGCAGAACAAGCTGCAGGCAAAGGAGACCTCGCCACACTCTACCAAACAACTAGGAACCTTTCGGGCAAACGTTCGACACAGATTAAGCCAATAAAGGACGACAATGGAAAGTCAATCACCAAAGAGGTGGAACAGAGAAAGCACTGGGTTGAACACTTCAAAAGACTTCTAAATCGTCCGCCACCTACAACACGTCCAGCAATACCAACAACGGAAGCAGAACTACCAGTGAACACTGACCCCCCGACGAAATCAGAAGTCCTGAATGCAATCAAGATGCTTAAAGCTGGGAAAACACCGGGACCAGATGGAATCCCAGCAGAGGCTTTGAAAATAGACCCAGAGACAACAGCGGACTTGATGACACCACTGCTGGAGAAGGTGTGGAAAGAGGGCAAAGTACCCGAGGATTGGAAGAACAGTTACTTATTCAAACTTCCAAAGAAAGGAGACTTAAGTCAATGTAAAAACTGGCGTGGAATTATGCTTCTGTCCATTCCAAGCAAGATACTAAGTCGCATCATCCTGGAGAGAATCAAACAAGCCCTAGATGAAAAACTTCGTCCGGAACAGGCTGGATTCAGGAGAAACAAATCATGTATTGATCAAATCGCCACTCTACGGATCATCATTGAACAAAGCTTGGAATGGCAGTCACCTCTCTATCTCAACTTCATCGACTTTGAAAAGGCCTTCGACAGCGTCGATCGAGAGGTCATTTGGAAACTACTTCGCTACTACGGGGTCCCATCGACAATTATACACCTCATCCAACAGTTATACGACAATGCTGCATGCCAAGTAATCCACAACGGGAAACTTACGGAAGCCTTCGAAGTGAGGACGGGAGTGAGGCAAGGCTGTCTACTATCACCAATGATCTTCCTGATTGCAATTGATTGGATAATGCGACAGACAACGGCAACCAACGAGGGAACAGGCATAAAATGGACTGACACAAAAGACTTGGAGGATCTGGATTTCGCCGATGATATATGTCTGATTTCCCATAAACTGGAAGATATGCAAGTGAAAAGTAACAAGTTGGCAGAAGAAGCATCAAAGATAGGACTTCACGTGAACATAGATAAAACAGAGATAATGAAGATTCCTAGCCAACATCAACAACACCAACAGACCACAATAAGCATAAATGGGAAGAACCTGAAAGAAACAACCTCCTTCACCTACCTGGGAAGCATCGTCTCAACTACAGGCGGAACTGACGAGGACATCAAAGCCAGAATCGGAAAAGCAAGACAAGCTTTCATTACTCTCAAATCTGTGTGGAGGTCAACAGCACTCAGCATCAAAAATAAGATCCGGATTTTCAACTCCAATGTGAAGTCAGTGCTACTATACGGATCAGAGACTTGGCGAGTCATAAAGAGCATCTCAAACAAACTTCAAACCTTCATTAACAACTGTCTCCGCTCAATACTCAAGATCAGATGGCCAGAAAAGATCAGCAACAGGGATCTCTGGGAGCGAACCAATCAGGAACCGATTGTGAAACAAATAGGCAGAAAGAAATGGAGATGGATTGGCCATACGCTGAGGAAACCATCAAGTGACATCACTAGACAAGCCCTCGAGTGGAACCCGAAAGGGAGGCGGCGAGTTGGTCGTCCAAGGGTGACTTGGAGGAGGTCATGCGAGGAGGAGATGAAAGCATGTGGACAGACCTGGAGCAGGGTGAAAAAGTTGTCAGAAAACCGAAGTCAATGGAGGTGCGCAGCTGAAGCCCTATGTTCCTCTAGGAACTAAAGGATACAATAATAATAATAAATTATACGCGTTACTTGAAATATTGCGAGAGTATTATAAATGCTACAAAAACAGGTTGGAATATTCAGCATGTAGCATTAAGGTGTCAAAAATTGAAACTAAGCCTATGCTGAAAACCCCGGTGTGGTTTCGACCTTACTTGGACATCTTCTATCCTGAAAATCTTCAAGAAAATTCTCTGCCTAATCTACTACATTAAGAAACTCTGACTATCAGGAATCACCCAATCTCTACTTTTACAATCTTTCAACCCTCGTGTCTTACCTATTCTACTTTACTGCTCGCCACTAGTCTTTCCTGGGCTACTGAGAAACGACTATATCATCCTGAGAAATATGTTGAAGTTAGTTGGTAGGACTTGTGATGTAAATCTTAGTCACCTCGTCATTAGGAGAAAGACATCTGAATACATGCGAAAAATGGTCTAAAACCATACTCTCCAACCCCCAACACCCACTCTACCCTAAACTCTCTCCTTGTATCTCATCAGGCAGAAACAGAAATCAGTGCAAAATGCTCATATGCTCGTAGAATTATTTATAAGAACTCAACAATACCATATTTGGCAAGCCCGTGTTCTAAGTGACAGAGACAATTGCTTGGATATCACATATTCATTTGGTCAGGATGTTACATTGATTGACACTTATGGAATGAATAATTCAAAACAAAGTCCACACACGCACGCAATCTCTTTCCGTGTCATAGTCTGTCGTTGCTCATCTCCAAAACACAATTTTGGCACCCGTTTATGTCAGAGACGCTCGTTAATTGGTGAATACAAGCATGAGCAAAACTTACTCTTGAGTTTCATCAACATCAAGCAGGAATTCTGTTATAAGACTGACTTGTTGAATACGAGAGAATATTCATTGTAGCGTGAAAACAAGAATACTGTAGTGATGCTGAACGTACGCTCACTAACCCACCCACACAAATACAAACTCACTCACTTAATCAACCACCAACAACTAATCAACACAAACGGGCCTAATTCAACAAATGGAAAACAAGATAAGCACTAGGATTTTTATCAACTGACAAACGCATTACAACACTACAACTCACCATCAGCAAGAGTATAAAAGCTGTGAAGTGGAATCAGAGAAAACAAAGGAAGCAGAGAATATGTTCAACTTGATGTACAGTTTCATATCTGTGATAACACTGCTGGTGTTTGCCACCATGAACGAGAGTACGCATACATAACCATGACTGTGCATTTGTGACCCTTTATTTTCAAATAAACCTTTTTTGCATTATGATGAATGCTACTGTTTCATCCTATCAGTGTTTTGTAAGACTATTCCGTGATCATATTTCTGAGAGGAGACTGCTTGTGTCTCCAACAAACCCATTCCACTTTCAGTATCTCACCTTTACATATCACTCTCCTTCAGTGATGAAGAGTATTTCGATGATCTTTCCATCTCCGAAATTGTAAGTGAATGCAGCAAACATTCAAATCCTCCAACTAGTGTTCTGTTAATTAGCAGTTTTTCAGATTTCCAATCATATAAACTCAATGCACACATGGCTCTTTAGGCTTTAGAAGTTAGCAAATTCTAACATAATATTCACGTGTTAATAAAGTTTCGGTTTGTGTAACAATGCTTGTTCTCTCCATTTTGTCAATTTTAAAGGTGAATCGTCTAAGTTAGGAGACATAGAAGAATTGCTTAAGGGGACTGTAGGTAAGACGATTGATTTCAGATGGATATATAATTCTTCTTGCATTAACCTAAAGAAGCTTTTGATGTTTCGTTACATCATGTCTCTTGTAAAATCCCTCCAATTGTAAATTATTCGAAATAATTCTCGCTCTCTTTTCCATAGCTGAATTACCCAAATTAGCTAGTTCGATTCGCAGCAATGAAGAAGAAATTACAAAACTGGAAAGTAAGCAATAATTTCAGGTGATTGATAATTTGCCTAGGTCTTCACGATTTCTGCATATGATGTTCGCATGAAACATTTGTTATACTTTCAGAAGATTTTCCCCATAGGCTATTCAGTGGAAATGCTTCGACTTCAGGCATTGTAATTACGTGGAGCCAGCTGACATGACACTTATTCAAGTGAGGATGTTAGCATGCAACTACCTGACTCCTCATTCACTTCTCATCCGTTCTCATTCGCTCCAATAAGAAATGTTACACGTTCATGTTCATGACAATCACTTTGTTGTAAAATGAATATACTACGGTGTAGGCATGCTCCAATAATAGCCAATCAACTCACTGTTTTCATCATAGTAAATGCTGAAGTTCTAACCGGTGTCCTGTGTCATGCAGTGACTCTACTCACTTCTCTCTCTCTCTCTCTTTCTTTAGACAAGATTATAAATGCAGTTACAGAAACCGGCAACCGTACCTTTGCGAACTGTGAGTGATGATTTTATGAATTTCTCTGACTAACAATCTCTTTCAGTTGTTAGCTGTTGCAGAAGATTTTATGAAAGCTACTCCGGAAACGAATTATTCAACTGTGTGTTCCAAGATTTATTTCACCTTTATATACTGCTTCTATTTACATGGTTATCCGAGGTGTTTAAGTGTTATTATTGTGTAGAATATTCAAAGTCGACGATGATGCAGCTAGAACAATTCAGTGAGATCCTACAACTTTGAAAGCGCACTTTCAGACTTAAAACAATTATCTTATCTAATGAGATTACTCACTGATTTAGTGTGTCTAGAGGAATGTGATTCATTGAGGTGGTTGAAAGGGACACAGGTTCATGGAATTTCACTGCTTTCTTCGAGATGTTATCAACTTGGTTCAATCTATAACTCAGTTTAACGCACACATTATGTCATCATTCGCTTTGGAGACCAGTGTTGAAAACTCTAAAGTCAAGCATCAATCAGAAGGGTTAAGACTCTGAATTCGATCATCAGGCAAATGACGTCAGCTTGACATTCCGATGAAATGAACACTTTATTGAATCGATGAAGATATTCATCTTGAAGATGTCTGGAAAACAACCTAATGGAAAGTGGACGATTGAAGAGAATCATTTCCGTCTTTAGATGTAATTAGGAATAATAAATTTCACGAGAACTGAGTGTTACAGGCTGGTCCATTGAATTGCATTGTGATAATCAGTAGAAGACATTGAAAAAGTATGCTTGAGCATACCGTGGAATTAATCAGGTGTGATGTAAATCCACATACAACACAGTGATGCATAAGGAACTATTCTTTTAGATGATCTCTTAATATCAGCAATCATTTTCTGTATTTTCCAGCTGCACTATCCAAACTTGAAAAGAACCCTGAACAATATGGTAACTTTATTTTATGTCAACCGACTTCATGTGTGGTTGTTATCACTTTGTCTGCACCCAGTGTATAGTTCAAGCATTGAGAATGATATCAGAGTTAAAATGTATTCCTCGAATCTATTTGACAGGAGAAACCACATAGAATGATCTTATAAATTTTGTACCGAAATGTGTCATAAGTGGAACTGATTGGCATATATATGTCTGATGTTATTTCCAGAACTCAATGCAGGATGAAAGAATGTTGCATTCAAGCGTAAAAGTTGTCCTTGGGGATTATGTAGTCATTTCATATTCGACTTGCATAGTGCTCACTCCCCATTTATCATCCATCGTAGCGTCTTTCTTTACTCTCAGTGATCACTCCATCCAAAATGCTTCCTTGATTGTTACTTCAGCAATTTATCAGAATTATTACTACCCACTGATAGCCATTCCTCCAACACTAATGAGGTTCATTGAAAATTTGCTCATATATTTAACTGGTCATTTTATGGAGAACACTTATCAGTGTGTTACTACACAATTTGAGAGCAGAGTCATCGAAGACAATTCCCGTAGACCATATTCCAGTTCCAGACTATATCCGAACCTCTGAATCACTCACCATTCATGAGTGAAATTCATACATTTATTTAGCACCTATTTCCAAAGATAATAAACATGAGTTGACACATTGTTTGAAATTCATTTACATACAGGTCCTCACAGAGAGGAGTATTTCTTTCAAGAATGTATCAAGGGAGAGGCTGATGCTTACGCAGGTAAACAGTTTAGGTTTGCATTCCTACTTCACACTTATCCAATAAACATTCCTATCTAATATGCCGGTGTCTATTTCACTCTAGCACTCTCCTGATTATTCCAGGTAAAAACCAGAGAGTTGGGAGTGGAGATTTTTTATTCAAGATAACTAAGTCCACAATTATTTGTATGATGTTTTGCCATTTCATAGGCGTGTATTTGCCTGAATATTTGTTGATAAAGATAAGTTTTGCTTCTCATTGTTTCAATGTGCTATTCTGTCTCTCTCTTCTGTTTCTTCATCAGCTAAGTTGCGAGCAGAACAAGCATTCGACTGTGAAGATTATAGACCAACAGGAAACCGTCACGGTAATCTAGTGATGACCAGTCACTCTTGAATTAAATTACGAAATATTACTGCTTTGAAAGATATTGAGAGAACATTTCTGAATTTCATCAGGTCAATTCTCGAAAGTCAAATATATTCTCATAAGAGTTTGTTTCACCGGATTCACCCAGCTCTCGATCTGGTAGCGTTGTCAGTGAATTTGAAGTAGATCTATCAATGTGCAGGATACAGTATCATGTTTAATATCAGATGGCTTTCTTTCCAGGGTTGCTATCACACATTACATCTGAGAAGTGTAATGACGTGAAATCTGAAGTCTGTGAAACTGTCTGTTGTAGTTGAGACTGCAGTTAATGTAATTCAATCATTCACGTTCATTGACATTTAGGACGAATTTGCCAGTCTACCAATACTGTTGGAGTCAAAATTATCCAATTTCAATACAGGACGAGAAACAATAAGTCCATGCAAGGGTTTATCGAAAGTGTTCTCGCTGTCTCCCAAGACGTGCAATAATCGACGTTTAAGTGAGGGATAACGTGGACGAGGTAATCGTCTATCTCAACAACAACACATTATTCCAAACCACCAATTATTTCACAGTATTCCGTATGATCACCGTTCGCCATTTGATTCTGTGACATTCAGTTTTAGAATGCAGTCATTCTCTTTCAAATTTCAGATCTAACAAATTTGAAGCATAAAATAAGAGATTTTTATGAGAACAAAAGGAAGTATGGTCAAGCCATCAGTAAGTGCAATCTGTTTTGTTCATGAGTTTTACACAATCGATTTATGCATCAATATTTATTCACAAAATAAAGAAAAAATGATTATCTGGTATTCCGCATAATCAGCAATTGCAATAATCCCATAACGCTTGTTAATAACGTGGACATTGTTCTCATTTCAAAATGGTTATGCATTTCAAACCAAAAGCAGTAATACATTCATCTTAGAATGTCTAAGTCTACACAGAGTTGTGCATCAGTTCGTAGTTAGTACACAACTTTTGGCAGTTTCTGGTCTGTTCACTAAATAATGCCAACAGATCACACAGAAAACAAGACTAGTCTGAAACATCCACCAACAGAATCACTTTACAGGTAGAAATCGTCAAAATATCGACAGGTGACGGTTTAGTTTCACACAGGCTAATCTTACTCACACAATCACAATTGACTACTAATTTGTTAAGCAACATGGAAATGCAAAGAAGGAACTAGGTCAGCACGAGTGTTCACACGGCAATAGATTAAATTTAGCCGACAGTGGCAAGAGGAAGTTAGTTGAGGAGAAACTGTCCGATGTGTTCACGTGTAGGCTCATACATGTCAGGAAGACTAATCAATACAGCAAAGACTGTAAATTCTCGTTACAACGCAGATATTAGAATAATTGACGGTTTCTACTGTATGACTGTGACCAACCTAGACATGAGTGTTGCCACATTATATGAAGTGTTGACTGATTGAGTGTGATATGCCCTTCATTATTATAAAGGTTTTTCTATTTCCCAATGAATGAAAAATAAAACGATTCATTGGGAAATACAAAAGCCTTTCTTATAATGAATATCATATACCCAATGCCCAAATTTTTCAAACCGTTAAAAGTCAACTCGGTTTGGACATATATTATGATATGCCACTCATCAAACAGTTTGTAGACAAAGAAACTTATGCATATGCTTATGCGTATTTTATTACTGTGCACATTGTCAAATCCTATCAGTTGTCGGAGAAGGAATTTACACACTGATGAGAAAGACTAGTCTTCATTCAACTAATATGTCATCTTTACACTGATCTTTTACTTTCAAGTGTTCAAGACCATTTATGAAGCCGCCGTCGAGAGGTTGAAACGTAAGATACACTTAATATCTCATAAGGAATCACCATTTATCATAATTCAAAATTTACTCATGATGGAAAATACCAACCTATTTATTTAGATAAATATGTATAACTAGAATTTGAATGCAGTCCACACGAAAATATTATTATTTTTACTTTGAACACGAAGGACAAGGGTAGTGGGATTCGATGAATCACCAATTTGTTCATGACATATCATATAATATGAAATCATACCTGGTATGATGAAGACAATCATTCAGTGTATCACAGACTAGATATTCAACAAAACCCAACCGATGTCTTCTTCTCAAGTGAACCCCATTTGTGGTCAAGTCTACTTGAACCATGTCAGACATACCCGATACATCCTCACTCACACAGTCACTGAGTCTCAGTCATTACGAGTGCGGTAGTTAAAATTAGTCGATTCTCTCGTGTCTCTTCCAATACTCATAACATTCAGCCTCATTTGCTTTATGGATAAGATTTGATTTTGATAAATCATTCACTCTTATACAGTAATATTAACTGATGACGTTTCCAGCCCAAACTCTTGATCATAATCATATCAACTTGCTCACACAACTGATTTCTTCATTGACATGATTATGTGCAATAGTTTGTGCTCGAAACGTCATCAGTTAGCATTAGTGCATAACACTGTGTGATTTTTCAAAATGAAATCTTATCCACAATGGAGTTGTGCTTCACCACAATGCTCACTCACATTCTATACTTATATCGTTTGCTTTAGTATGAAATCAAAAATGCTCACCTTCTTTCATTTCCTTTACAGAAGCTGGAGTAGAAAACTATAGGAGAATGCGAATATCCTACCCACGCTGGCATGGTGAACGTGTATTCTGCACATTCTTGGTGTGCAATGGATTTCATGAAAACTTAATGAAATAACCCATTTTCATTATAACGCTTATTGTCTCTCTTTTAAATATAATTGCATCATTCCAATATTTGACTTCTTCCGATTAATCAGATGAATTCGATGTTCTCATTCTGAGTAATTTTCATATTTGTCGACGCTTACAAAATCATACTTGACATGATGGTGTATATACTTCAGAGATTTATTTCATCAGTTAGGAAAATTTCCATCCGCTTTATGTGTTACTGAGATCAGTTAAATTAATTTTGTTGTATCCGGAGTGTAGATATTGTTTACTGGCTACCCCATTGATAATATTAATCTAAGGAAGAATTGGAATTCTATTCATTTGAAGATGATGCCACCGAATAGGCTTCCATGCAACTTGATATCGACGCCTCAACAGTGGAAATTCGAGTAACTGGCGGTACTAATCTTAGCGGTATCATTGAGATAGCATTGTGGTAGGTAGAACTGCTGGTATCAGTTACGTCTGGTGTCTATTCACTAATCTCAATATTTCTAGTCATAACACATTTTAAGCACAATGATGAGATAATATATTCACCAACAGAAATTATCTGCATTGTGTAGAAAAACTTCTAATCTGGAAACTTTCACTTCGATATTTCCATAATCCAAGTGAGTGATTCAGCGAAAAGACACTTTTTGAACAGGCAACTATCAAGCTGCACAACCACATATACTTATGGTAATTAGGAAATTATATGCTGTGAGTGAATCGAAACGCAGGCGTGAATATATAAAATAATGAAAGTATCATCAACTGCAGTTAACTTCTTTTTAGTTGTAATCATATTTGAATATCAATATACAACTCTTATTGAGTTCATTTGATTGAAGTGACAAACTGAGTGACAGTGTGACAGATCTGTTCGATAGTGAACCGTTTTCTGTGGGGGGCCGTTTCCCACCATCGTTGTGATAATATGCTGATGAAGTTATAAAAAGAAATGAAACGTCACAATTACAAATTTACCCTGAGTTAAACACGATAACAGTACTAGTAGTACTTTGGCTTTCAAAATACAAAAAGTAATACAAACAACACAAAAGTGGATGTATTCATTAACAGACTGTGCTCGATATACTTAAGGAGAGCGATTGTCCGGTCCAGTAATTGTGGCACATCCGAGACAGAACAAGATTATGATAAGACTTGATTAATTCACTCAATGTGATCTATTTATTTCTTACCTCATAGCTCTGTTATCTTGCCCATGGAATGTGCACTCCAAACCGATGTTAGTGAATGCATAGATTACACGTTATCTCAAGCATTTATTGGGCTTTCAGTGATGACGATTTACTAAAAGTCTGTAATAATCTAAAGGATGTGCGTTCTTACGTGAAAATAACGGATTGAAAACATTTCTGCTGATTAGTGGTCACAGTAGAAAGGCATGCAAACTACATTTGATAGTGTGACTCAGTTTTACAGTATGTTCTACAGCCGACTCTATCCTGATGAATATGGACCAGTCTGTTGATCGAATGAGGAAAAGCAAGTGACTAATCGTTGGTGTAATTGAATGAAATACATACAGATTATCATATGGAAATCGAACATGACTTGTAGTAAAAGCATCAAGTGGAGCGTAATTCCTGAATTCTACTTGTCTGTTTTTTATGTAGTCTGCGTGCCTAGTCAAATCCCGAAAAATAAAACGTACAACAAATATTCCAAGATCACAGCCAACTTCAATGAAACAAACACAATCACAGTCTTAGAACAACACACTATCAACGTTGTCATCACATAGGTGAAAAAGACGCATCAAAATTAGAGATGAAATGGGAAGAAAGACAAATGATAAGGAACAGACAGTAGATGAAGCGTGAATACAACCTGGTAGAAAAGAGGTGAACAATTACAGATTTCATTGAAACATTCAAAGTGCGCATGAATATTGCAGATAGATAGTTGAAGAGGGATTTTGTGAACTATTATTGAGAAACGATCTTCTGTCAAACTGAATGGTGTACTTGTGAAGCATTCATTGCCCCCAGAAATAACGACATCACCATATATGTGAATATCAAGTGGACTGCTTGATCTTCTAACGGGTTAATCAACTATCACTTCTGATATGAGGAAGAGAAAGAAGACAAAACCAGCATCATGGCTCACTCAATTCAGTGTGACTATTTGTCACGATAACAGCGACAATCATTAATAATACTAAGACTACTGAAAATGCTTCTAGTTCACTAGCTCCAGATAGTTTAAGTTGTATAAGATAAGCTCCTAGAGAATTCAGTATACAAATTATTCAATAAGAAAGTAACCAGTTTAATTTTTGTTGACTTTAATTACAACAATGTTGCTTTTGCCAGCGTGACATATTCAATCATACGACGATAGTTTGTTAGTAATTACGATGCAAGCTTAAGAATAATCACAATCAATGATCAGCAGTCTGTGTGTGAGTGAGTCATTCTTGTTGTCTGTTTCCCCCCTCCCTCCTCCACTGCACCAATTTCTTGTTCTCATCACAAAAGTATGTGGCCTGATTTATTCTGTGAGGTGAAGTACTCATTATTATAATTCAGGACAAATTCCTGTCTATATTTAGATGTTCACAAATCACATAAACATTCTCATTATCTTAATTTCACTTGGCTTCACTTCTGTTTAACGTAATCAGCATCAGGTTTTTTCAACAGAGTATAGAAAAGAATGATCACTCTGAATCGCATAAAGATATCAGTCGATGAGATATGATGATATGACTTGAGGATCCGACGTGTCTACACACATCACAAACTTGCAGTGTGAATACTGGTTCTACACACAGTGACAATATCACTCATATTTTCCCATGAACTGTTCTCGAATATACTTCATCAATTTTCGTGAGATATTTATCAGAATGAGTAGAGAATAAAAATATTCATCTTGTGTAGTTTCCGCGTAAATATCATGCAACAATAAATGAGGTGGACCTGTCTGGCAGCGAGTTATTGTATTCACAAAAGTATGGATAAATGTGGAGTCACAAGGAAAATAATCTCTCTCATGCCTGACGATTATGAGACCAAATATTGTCTCACATTTTCATCGTCCTCCTGTATAATGGCGTTTGAAGTATGAAATATTTCACTCTCCTTGCTTTTCGAACACAAAAGGCTACTAAATGGGTTAACAATATAACCAAGTGCATCCACACATGAGGAATTCTTCAAATCCACATGAATGAATTAATGCATACACTTTCGACGTTGAAATGACACTGAAATCACATTGAGTCGAACACAGCGTTGTACAGTCAATAATATATTGGGAGAAGCACACGAGGAAGAAAGGAGTATGACAGGGTGTGAGCAAGTCAAGTGAAGATTTCCGTCGACTAACGTGAGGTAGGCAGTCACAAATGGCCTGGTCGAGGGAATATCTGGAGACATCTTAAGCCTTCGTATGCAAGACAATCATAGTTATCATTAGAGAGATTCTATAATAATCCTAATGATGATTAAATGAGTTGAGTATGAACATAGGAATTATTATCCATGTAAAACAATAATTCTCGTATTAAAAGTGAATAACACAAACTTAATTAAATAATCAGATGACGCACCAGATAACAAGTTGAGAGATAACAAGCACTATAGTAGATTCAAAGCAAACATCATCTTCTGTGACCTATGAAAGCCTGTTCTGTAGAGTGTGGTAGCTCAACAATTGGACGGGTGAGAGAGTGAAGCAGTTTTTAATTGCTTATTGTTTTTTTTTTCATCAAGTTATACTCATTGAACATTCAAGAGCTTGTACACATTTTGACTTACATTTCAAATGAAATTAGAGATGAAATAAGAAGAAAGCAAATGGTAAAGATAAGTCAACAGGTGATGTGCAAGCGTCGAAATGGTGAAGTAGAGATGAAACCTGTGAGAAAAGTGGAGAATAATTATAGGGTTCATTGAAGTTTGAAACTAAGCTTGAATACTGGAAATGGATGGATTTCGTGAACATTTGATGAAGGACAGGCATCTTTTAACTGTATGGTTCACTTGTGAAGCATTCACTGCCCCCCCCCAAGGCGTTGATCTCACCGCATATCTCAATAACAAGTGGGCTGATGGAACTCTTAACCAGTTTACTGACTATCTCTGCAGATAAGAAGAAGAGAAAGAAAACGAAACCATCATCAGAGCTCACTGAATTCATTGTAGCTTTTTGTTACGGCGACAGCGACACTCATTATTACCACTAAATATACTGAAACTAATGCTACTATACTAGATCTAGATAATTTAGTTTGCATAAAGTAAGCTTATAAAAGATTTAGGGTAGGAATTACTGATTCAGAAAAAGAACTTTTAAAGTTTTGCTAGCTTTAATTATAACAATGTTTTTCTTTTTCAAACGTAGCACGTTCAATAGTACGATGACAGATTTTAGTAATTAGGCCACCAGCTAAAGAATACTTCTAATCAATGATGACCAGTCTGCGTAGAAGAGAGTAATTCTTGTAGTCAGTTTCTCCCTTGTACCAGTCAGTTGTTTTCATTAGATATGTAGAAGAAAACGGAGAATGATGGAAGGGACTCAGAGGTGGTCGTTTATTGGTGTCTCTCATCAGACCATTTAATCGAACCCGAATGGGAATTGACGAGTTGGGAAAAGTTCAGAGGCTGACGTGGAATACATTGTGCATGGAAGGGATGAGAAATTTTGGAAAATCTCGAAGAAGAATAAAGAGGACCGCAGTGGGTGAAAAGAAGTTAACATATGTTGACGAAACACTGCGTTCAACTTGGAAGCAAAGGCGAAATAGTATTAATTTTGTGATAATCAAATTGTTGAGCAGAATATTTCCTCTAAGGTTTTACTTTGAATACAACATTGTGTATTCGGTTAGTTATACCGTTTGCGCTTTATTGGAGTCGTGTACATTTATTGTTTGCAATGACATTTTGTTAACTGTGAACAAAGTTTGGGATGAACTATCTCAGGCGTTGTGTTTGGACGCTGGATTAACACATATTCAACGGCTTATGACGTGTT